ATTTTTTTTTTTTTTTTTTTTTAAAAAGCTTTGGACGTTGTTTAAGGGGTTTTTTTTGGGGGGGGATCCCAAAAGGAAGGTAAAAAAAAAATGAGGGGCAAAAATTGGCTGTTGTTGGGGTACGGGGGGGGCGGTTTTTTTTTTTTTTCCAGCCCTTTTCCCCCCCGGGGGGGTTCCCCCGGGCCCAACCCCCAAGAAAAGGAAACAATTTTTGGGGAAGGCCCCTCGATTGTTTTGAGGGGGGGGCTTTTTTTTTTTTTTCGGGAGGGCTTTTCTTTACCCCCAGGGATTTTGGGGGCGTTGGGGGGGGGGGTAGCCGTTTTCCGGGGAACACCAGTTTTTTTTTTTTTTTTTTTTTTTGTGGGAAGAAACCGGAACCCCCAAGGGGGTCAACCACCCGACATTTTTTTCCGGGGATTTTGGGGCCGCCCGTTTTTTTTTTGGGTCCATTGGGGTTTTAAACCAATTAGTTTTTTTCCCCCTTTGGACGAAAAAAATTTTTTGGTGTAAAGGGGGGGGGGGGGCCCCCCCCCCCCCCCCAGACCCGATTTTTCAAAGCTCGATGGCTCCACAACTCCACGACCAAGATTGTGCCAACAAACACCAAAAGTGGTGGTTGTGGAAACATGTCGTCGAGGGTTTTCCGTGGACATACCGGGCTCCTTCCGCACCCTCTCAGTTGTGGAGCAATCGAGCTTTGAAAGTCGGTCTAGGAGGGGTTGTGATCTGTCCGCGTGGTACGGATTACCACGGTACGGTATATACGGTACGGTACAGACAATGTTGGTCGTGGGGAAATCGAGCTTTGAAAGTCGGTCTAGGGGGGGTGCCACCTCTCCGCCTGTTTGCGATATTCAGAGAACAACGCTCACCACCTTGCCAACTGTAGCTGCGGTGCTTGGTACTTCACTAACCCACCTAGTTGCAACGCTCGCACTCGCTGCAAAAGGTTCTCGACCCTTCTTCGTAATGTTAAACGTTCACGCCCCCCGATGTTGTCGTCAATATGAACGAACGGCAGTAGTAGTGCCGAAACGTGTTGGAGCGGGACTTTTTTCTCGAAGAGGTGGTGGTTGTCGAGAGGTCGCTCCAAGGCTTGTAGGTACGCTTGTTGGTGTGGTGCGTTTTCGGCCTTCCTCGGAAGGGGGCGCAGTTTCTCTCGACGTTACCCTGGCGCGCACAACTCAAGCGCCATGAGAGATGCTGATTGCTGCGGCTGCGGAATCGTCAGACCTCACAAGAAGCACGTGCTCGAAAAAGATAGTAGTAGTGTAGGGGATCAGCAAACAAAAGCTAGAAAGCTCTGTCCGCGGTAAGGCACGCAAGCGAATCACCGCATCTCGTTGCGCTGTTGCACCCCCCTCCCGTCCCCCTTGCCCTAGAGAAAAGAGAACGAAAGAAACACCAAATATCGCATTAAACAGTTAGTTCCGACCTCCCAGCCTTTTGCCCAAGCTCCTCCTGCAACAGGGCAACAGGGCCACATGCCCACTCCCTGCTCAGGTCTCCACGATTTGCGTACTCTGGCATCAGCCTGGCTTTCCGACAACCGTATCGATGTTCCCCGTGAGTGGGCCGGCATTGCATTGGACGTGGTCTACTGTACGACAACGTTCCGTTTCAAGAACCCACCGCCGTTCTTTCCCTGCGGAACTCCGCCCTATTTCGCGGAAAGCACACGTACTTCACCCGCTCCACAGCTAGACTCAAATAGACTACATGTCTAGCGGTAACAAACCAAGTTTACTTCCAAAAATCTTATCAACGCCAATCAGACAAATTCACACGCACGTTTTTACACCACATCTTAAGACTGCAGTGTTTTTCATTGGTCAGCCGGTTAGCTCGGTCCATACCAACGAAACAAAGACACACACAGGTACACACAACCTTTTCGCCGCCCAGTCCGGACAGCGACGACTTTCTCCCCCTTGACTCTCGAACACGTTTTTTGCCCTGAGAAACATGGAGATCAACCCGCTTGTTTTCTCTTCGTGGGGATACAATTTGTGCAAGGAATCGTGGTATCCCCAGCTCCGTGCTCATGCTCATAAAAAGTGGATCTAAAGGCCATCCCATGGATCGCGCCCCCAAGCCAAGAAACTTTTTTAAGAGGCCTTAGGTTTGCTTACGAGACTTGGCGCCCGAAACCAATTTCCTCGGGTTTTGATTATTCGAAACCCTTGCGGTCGGCGGGTGGAGTCGTCCGACACCGGTGGGCGCCACGTTTGAAATTGCCCGCTCGCCATCGAAGATCGTCAAAACACTCCGGACAACCCTCGGTCCCTCGCCCCTAAAAGGGCTCATGGCCTCTCTCTCTCTCTCTCTACTTGGTGATGATCCAGCGGCGTTACCACCGCATGGGAATACGAAACGCAAGAGAAAAAAGCGAATGCCTACCATAACACCACCACCGCCACCACCACCACCACCACCACCGCGCAAACGGTCGGTAGGGTTTGTTGGCAGCGCTTCGTCAGCATCGACCGTATGTCCGACGAGCCTTCCTCACGCCGACTCGTCCCCAGGTGGATGATGATACCACGGCACCCCCGTCGGCAGCCCTCCCCCCCTCGCGCCTCCCGCCGAGCGAAACGCTCGCCCCGTCACGCTCCTCGCCACCTGCCGCCGCACGAAGAACACCGCCACCGCTACCGGCCCGGATACTGTTGCCCACCTCCCGTGCAACTCCCCCCCCGCCACCGCCACCACTGGAACCACCAGTCTCGCCGCTCTCTGCCGTCTTGGCACCGCGGCTTCTTCGGGCAGCGGCGGCAATTATCGGATCCGTCCCTTCATCCGAGGCTGTTGCTGATGCGGCTGCACCTAGCCTTCTTTTCGCGCTGCGTCTTCCAGAACCAGCCCCGGCTTCATCGTCGTCGTGCGGGCTTGCTCCTTCGCCCACTGGTGAAGACTTAGCGCCTCTGCTGCTGCTGCTGCTGCTGCTGCTGCTGCTGCTGTTCCAGCTGCTGTTCCAGCTGCCGCGCGCTCTTGCCGGCAGCACTGCGTCGTGGTCGCTGCTGCCGCTGCAGCCACTCTCCGTGCTCACGCCGCCGCCTCCGTATCCTTGGCGGCGAGAGCCAGCAGTGCCCCTGTCCGATGATAAGCCTAGCGCCACCGGCGTCGACGATGCGGTTACTGACGGCACCTCCGACGGCGATGCCCACGGACTGCTTCCGCTAGAACCACCGCCTCCGGACAGCGGACGCTGCCAGTCGGGCCCTCCTCGTTGCTGCAGGGCGAAGAAACCAGAGCGATGTGGAGAATTACGTGTTTCGCGAAGGCGGCAATAATCGAGGGAGGGGAGAGAGAGACAGCGAGAGAGGGAGGTAGAGATAGAGATGGAGAGAGAGAGAACGGCGAGGTGTTCTCAATATTTCCATTAATTATTGTACGGTGCGCGGTGTCATGGTGGCGAACGTGGCGGTGCTTGTAACTCCTCACGACCACGGGCTTCACACATGGGGGAACTCGATGGCACAAGCTTGGCGCTGCGGTTCCGTCGGTTGAAACGACTTGAGGCAAGCGCTTGGTTTTCACGTGGTGGTCCACGTCCCGCTGCAACCACAAGGGGAGCGCCAAACAGGAGGCCGTTCTTCAAGCCACCGTGCCTCCGCGCGCCCGCGAACGGTTGGATTTCATGAGGTCCTCTTTGGACCCCCAAAGGTACATAGCGCCTGGCTGGGAAAGACTAATGCAATGCACTTACCGCCCGCACATAATAAACCACTACTACCTACCGTATATGACACAAGATAACACACCCCCTTGACCGATTTTCAAAGCTCAATTTCTCAACAGCAGGAAGAGTCACAGCGCCGAAAACGGCGGCGTTGGAACCGTCTCGTCGAGAGCTGTTCGAAAACGTATTGTTTCGTTTATGCATCCTCTTCGTCGTGGAGTAATCGAGCTTTGAAAATCGGTCCAGGGGGTGTGTTATCTTGTGTCATATACGGTAGTTTTATTACCGGGGCTGAGTTTCGTGGAGCCTACGGTTATTCAGCGAATAGCCGGTGTAAGATTTTTTTTTTTAAGTGTGTAGGGGTTCTTCACCAACCTCTCAAATAGTGCTCAAGTTTCTTGGACATTTGAGTTTTTCGACGCTCGTACTTCTTCTCGCTGCCACGCTCGTACGCACGGGCGCTGACTGTATACGCACCTTTTCCGGAGGCGGGTGGAGCTGCTCTTGCTGATGCCAGTTGAATCCCAAGACGGAATTTCCCTGGCACATGCCGATCACTGCCCCAAAAGTTTCGAGCGCGGAAACACGACGGAGGAAAGGGGGACGGCAGACAACGCATTGAGTAAAAAAATCACCGAGGTTACACTACAAAACCCCGTGGGTTTCGGTGCAGGGGCTCCTTGTGCGGAAAAGCGTCGCTTTCGCAAGAGAAAGCTGGTTCCACTAATGGTCATGCCAACCAGGACTGCGTTTCCGTCGATCAAGATAACAAGGTAGATTGTGGGAGAAGCTGAATGAATACGGTCTTAGGGCATCTGCGACGAGCAAATGGCTCTTCGATAGCGAGCGAGGGAAAACCAAACGAAAAACAACAGCGTAGTAGCGACACACCCGCGGCCACTGGTCTACAGCAGTAGTACCTGAGATTGTCCCGTCCCGCCGTGAGTCTCGTCCGATTCGGGACTCACCATAACCGCATCGTAACCGCATCGTAACCCCTGTATACCGAGAGTGAGAATAACTTAACCCACCTTGGTCTGCGGGGGGTCTCGTGTCGTTTAAGGCAATGTACTCTGCCGGCCCCCCCGCTGGCTGCCGTGTTCAGAAAAGAGCGAAGAAAAGCATGCGGCAGATGCGACGAATATTGGATCACCAAACGACGGGGATGCGCAATGAGGCCATAGTTGGATGTCTATGCCTTTCGATCATCCCTCATGCGCGCAACAACGAAAACACATCAAACACCAGTACACATCTCAATAAGCTAGCAAGGAAAAACGGGAAGTGAGCTGGTTTGCGATCTCTCTGACAACCGAGAGAAAAATGAGGTTGGTTACTTTTTTCATTATTGCTTGCACACGCAACGGATTCATCTTCGCCCGCAGATAAGAGCCCCGGATTATTCGCCACTGATTCCTGCTAGCACTATTCTTTATAAGGGGGAATTTTCTAAGATTCCCCGAGCAGCAGACCAGCGATATCTCCCCGCACCACGGCGGTTTCACCGATAATACATGTTTGCATACCACGTGACAACTCCCCGACGATCCTACACGGGGCGGCTTTGCCGCCTGTCCTGAATCTTTATCCCTTATCTGCACTGTGCAGCTACCAGCAGCTCGTGACCATAGTTGTACAAAATAGGAGTCTCTGGCTAGACTACAACACAAGCAATTCCCGGCACCGCTTTAGAGAACCATTCTCGTGCTTCATATGCATACATAGTGGCAAGAGAGTCTCTTTTCTGCCTTCTGCAACAATAATCGGTCGACGAGGGAGAGAAACAGCTGAATCATGTTCGCGACAAAACATGTCAAGCATATGTGCTCTGTTTTTGCTTTGTAGCATGAATGCAGAGGTAAGTCCCTCGGAAGGAAAGAAGGCGGAACCATAGTTCTGTGTCACCCCCTGCTGGTGCGTCCAGAAATTGTACAGGAAGGCTTGAAAGACTGACATCGAGAACAAATGTGTGTCTATGTGTGTTTCGTATTTGCATCGACCGCGCTAAACCGGCTGACCGATGAAAAGAGGTCAATCTCAGTGCGGTTGAAAAACACCGAATGCTTCTTAATGCCACAATCTGGGACCCTGTGACCGAGCGTCAGGGGGAGTCTACGCTACTCGTTGCAAACAAAGACAGACACCGGAGCAATAACAGACGCACGTGTTCATCATGGCTGGCTGCTACTGCTTTGGACAACGCGTTCGCATTGGAATTATTTCATCTTACATTGTACAATACACGACACAACGAACGTTGTCGTTGACCCAGTAGAGAACTACAGGGGATGTATTGTAAAATGTAAGTTACCTATACAGACAGATGTTTTTGTACTTAGCACCAGCTGGCATCACTGGTATAAATCATCAGTGTAGACTTAAAAAGACTCGAAATAAGTCCAGTACCCAGCCGGTTTCCCTCCACTCACTGAAAAGACTCCACCACATCCCGTTCGACGGTGGGTATATCTCGAATGGGTAGTCTTTCTGTGTGTGTTTATATTATTCCATAAATCTTCTTCCCTACATTTACCACCACCACTCTTCTTGTGGCCAATTCCCACTACTTTCTGGCAGGTCCTCTCCAGTCCTGCGACGTTTGTTGTGAGGAAGGTCATCTGGCTCAAAACCCTTTGGTCTCTTCCGCGCTATGTATGTTTTCCTCCTCCACCATCGCCTTCACCCCTCTCTTCTTTCCTTTTTCCCTTTCCTTCATCTCCGTCACCCCCAAAAAAATTACCCTCATCAATCAATACATCAATACCATCGATTTCAACAGAACTACTATGCATACAGCAGTAGTACTGAAATCCCAACCTATTGGCCGTGGGTGGAAATTGGTCGATCATTAGACTAGCCCATGACGTTTGAAAAACACCTCGAGTGAGCTCGTATCGACAGAAAACGAGCCAGCTCGAAGGTGTTCTGTTGGTGTGGTAAAAGCCCGAAGCAAGGCTGTTTCGTCGTCGAACTTGCCCCTGTGCAAAACTCCTCGTGGGCCAGATGGTTGGGGATACACAGCAATTGTTGTTGTTTTTCTTCACATTAAACTCGTGTCAGTTGCTAATCCCAAAATCTAGCAAAGACTCGGCCCGTGGTCACAAAAATGCTAAAGCCATCAGCAATAAACTACGATTAAACGATTTGTGCCTCCATACGTTGAAAAAGCAGCAGTAAGGAGGGTCGGTCTAGACGGGTTGAAGGTCTCGCATAGGTTGTGTTGCTGCTCTATCTTTCCGAGGGCGGACCCTGCTGTTTGAACTGATTTTCGATGCTTCTATTTGCAGATTGGTTGCCGATGTGTGACATCTACGAGGACAGACTTGGTGCAGAGATCCTTCTCTTCGAAGTCTTGCACTTATTAGGTAAATCCTATAGGGATCACCAAATCCATCTTGTAGAGCCCTTTGAAGGAAAAATAAATACACGCACAAGAAAGACTAGTCTACCCATTCGAGATATACCCACAGTCAAAAGGGATGTGTTGTTGGAGTCTTTTCAGTGAGTGGAGGAAAACCGGCTGGGTACTGGACTCATTTCGAGCAGAAAAAAAAAAAAAGTCTGTACAATGTACAATGTACAATGTACACCCTGATACGATGAGGGCCGATACGTAATTACGCCGCATCTGATTGATTGCGCCAGAAGTGCCAATGTTGTACCTCACCGTCTCACTAGTCGTCCCCGATGAACACACCCACCTTTGGTTGCGATGGTGATGGTTGTCGTGCGCCCGCCTCTCCCGCGAGCATTAAGGAAAAGTTCACAGCGTTCCGGCTGGGCATGTTGGTGAGGAAAGACATGCCACGTCTGCTCTCGTCTCTCTTGCTTGTGATTTGTTTTTGCGAAGTCGTGTGCAGTTTCAAGTGGCAGCGCTCCCTATCTCTCTTGATCGCCCTCAGACCAACAGATTCCGTGTGCCATCACCCCACACTCGAGGAGCTGAGAAAGTATACCAGGTACTCCTGTAGCTGCCACGCTTATAGCAGAGTGTGAGCAGCCTACCCCCTTGACAGATGATTGTTGCTTCTCAGGTAAGAAAAAAATAACGGCAGAATACCCATGGAAGATTCCTGGAAAACGGAAGGAAAAAAAAAAAAACAAGAAAAATCTGCTGTCGGACAGATATGTATCATACCTTTGTCCCCCTCGCTCTTGGGACCTAGCTACAGCAGTAGCTGCAGGTCTCCCGTGAGAGAGAGGGGGCGGGACACCGGCTGGACGACGGCTGTGAAGGGCTGAAGGGATCGATCGGCGTCTGTCTGTCTTTGCTGAAGCGAGAGAAAGAGAGAGATAGAGCACACACACAGCACGTACAGAGGCGTACAAGCCTGTGCTGCCACAGCAACGAGGGACATCATCACTTACACGCCGCGTCCCGCTTGATCCGCCTCAACTCTTCTCTTCGCAACAGCAGTGGACGATGGAGAGAGAGCTCAGGGTGTCCGGCTTCCGGCGAAGGAGGGAGCGTTCTTCCCGCAGGTCTCCTGGTGGTGGTGGTGGTGGTGGTGATGTCGCAACACCTCTCTGCTGGTTGTTGCTGCTGTGCGGTTTTTTTCCTGCTGGGCGGGTCTTTGGGCAAACGGAAACCTCCGATTGGCTACACAGAGCAGCGGCCTTGCAGCGGTACATCGGGTGAGACATAGAGAGAACGCGAGCATTTTCCCATGGAGATATGTAGTAGTCACAACAGCAGCAGCAGCAGCAGCAGCAGCGCCCCTTTGTCGATAGAGTGTTCGTCGGAGTGAGAAGGTCTAGAGGTCGGCACGCGCAACTGTTTATAACGACCCGGTTCCCGACCTTGGGTGCTCATCTGACGCGAGCAACGTGATTCTTAGATACAGCAGTAGTACCTCTTTCTCCGCCCCCCCCCTCCTCATACACACACCGGAATAAATACGCCAGCACCACCGCCCAAAGGCGTCGGCACCTCTCCCGCGCTCATCCTGCGAAGCGTGCCAGCGCGACGGGTGCGTTTTTTCCGTGCCCGTGTCGATTGCCTCTCTACGGAAATACTACCACAGGCGCAAATCTCATGTGGTTGCATATCTGTTGTCGGTGTACCGTTGATGAGTTGATGAGTTAGTTAGGTACTGCTGTAGTTTCGCCGCTATTTAGAAATATGGGGAGAATTGTCTATTGTCAGGCCTTGCGGGCGGGTGTGTCGCGTCTGCCCCCGCGGCCTCTTGACGTGAGGAGGCTGCTGCTGCTGCCGTGTTTTTTGCTGCACGTGTCCTATTGCGCAACCTGACTGAGAGACGAGGCACCCCGTTCGTCACCTATTTTTGGAGGTCTGTTTCCATTCCGAAGTTTTGGTTTTTGATGAGACAGCAGACGATGGGACAGCAGACGCCTTGGGCAGTCCCCGCTCGACAGACTTCTCGGATTGTTCGTTGCGACCTTCTTCGTTCGGCGCACCACCATCACTTTGTGGTACAAAAGGAAATGGATTGCGCGTTCCCTCCTTCTTCTGCTGCGATTGCGTGCTCTACCGCTGTTTTTTTTTTTGCGTGCTGCCAGCCGTCCCGCAGTAAATTGCGCACCAGGCACAAGTTGTGTCGTGACCACTGAAGAGAAACAGCAGTTGGTCCCCTCTTGACATAGTCATCGCCACTTGCCGCACCAGTGTTGTACGGACGGATTGCCCTCCGATCCCGAACCCGAGTGCTATTAGCCCGTCGCCGGCAGCGGGAACTGCCGTACACTCTCTCATTCATGCTGCGGTTATTACTGCCTGATGGCCCGTTTTGTAGCTTTTTCTGCACGCGTGCGAGCGTGCGCGGGGGGCAACAGCTTGTGTCTTGGCATACATACGGCGAGCAAAGCAGACACCAGTCCATGCACGTCTGCGCGTGTTGTCTCTCTCTCGAAGGCTACACCAGCAAACAATTCGTCCTATCTACAAGTGTTTGGTGTGGATTGTACCAGACACCACGACTCATCCAGATTTGAAGACGTTGGGCGATAATTGTCGACACCATTTTTTGCTACAGCAAGTATGCGCCAGTATCATCACACTATATACGCACGCCCCACGCACAAGTGTTCGGGATCGTGACCGAACTGCTGTACTGCTGTACTCCGACCTCGTTTTGGCTTAATTACCGTGGAAATAGACGCGTGATGGATGTCGTCTCTGCCTCAGCTTTGCACAGACGTACATACATACGCGTATCGTACAGGATGACCAGCGTCACGGTCACGCTGGCGCCTCCTCCCATCGTCCGTGTGATGTAATTGTATGTGACCGCTGCGTCGGGTTTGCATCATACTTAAATAGCAGGCACTTTCCAAGTAAACGTGGTAAAAAAAAACGGTAACCTGGTTGCCGAGTTCACGAAGTGAATTGGCTTGTTTTACAACGTCGTTGCCACCCAACCCCGATGACAAACACCGGGGCGGGCGGGGGGGGGGGGGGGGGGGGGGAAAAAGGCATGAACCCGGGCCAAAGTGCTGCCTGATGCCCAATAGGGGGGCCAAAAAAAACCCCCAACCGGGGGCCCTTGGCGACAAAAAGGGGTTTTTTTGGTACATTCCCAGGAAACCGGGGGTTTGCTGCGGTGCCCCCCCACTCCGGCGAAAAAAGGGGGGAGATTTTCGGCACAAAAATGCTGAGAAACGACTTTAACAGGGTTTTAAACCCCTTCGGGCCCAATTTCCGGGGGGGCAAAAAAAGGTCAAAAAAACGCAGGGGGCCCCCGGTTTCCAAAAAGGGCTACACAAAAAAGTAATATATTACAATCTACCATTACGATCGACACCAAGACATGCC